GGGATCGAATCCCACGTCGGGCTCCCGGTGCATGGAGGCATGGAGCCTGCTTCTCCCTCTGCCTGTGTCTCTGCCTCTCTCTCTCTCTCTCTCTCTCTCTCTCTCTCTCTCTCTCTCTCTCTCTGTGACTATCATAAATAAGTAAAAAAAAATTAAAAAAAGAGAAAAATGTACTATAAAGCTGCAGTAATCAAGACAATGTGATATTAGTGAAAGAATAGACAAATAGACCAATGGTGTATAATAGAGCTCAGAAACAGACCCATATAAATATAGTTAACTGACCTTTGACAAAGGAACAAAAGCAGTTCAATGGGAAAAGGATAATTTTTTAACAAATTGGACATCCATACAAACACACATACACACTTGAATCTAGACACAGATCTTCTTCTATCTTTCACAAAAATTATCCTCAAATGTATCAAAGACCTAAGAGTAAAACACAAAACTATAAAATTGCTAGCAGACAATATAGGCAAAAATTGAACTGATTCCCAGTTTGGTGATGGCTCTTTAGATAAAAAACTAAAAGCACAATCCATGAAAGGAAAAAAGTTGATAAAGTGGACCTCGTTAACATTTAAAACGTCTGCTCTGCAAAGACACTGTTGAGAGAACGCTAGAACAAGCCACAGACTGGAAGAAAGCATTTGCAAAGCACATATCTAATAAAGGACTAGTATCCAAAATATACAAAGAACCCTTAACACTCCACAATAAGAAAACAAATACCCAGTGGAAAAATGGGCAAAAATATAAACAGATACCTCACCACAGAAGATACACACATGGAAAATAAGGATATGAAAAGATGCACAACACGGTATGTCATTAGAGAATCTCAAATTAAGCCAACGGTGAGATACCACTAGACACCTATCAGAATGCCTAAAATCCAAGCACTGCCAACACCAAAAGCTGGAAATGAGTTTCTTATAAAGAAACTCATTGGGAGTTTCTTATAAAGCTATATAATTACATAATGCATCAATCACATTCCTTGGTATTGATTCAACTGATACGAAAATGTATGTCCACACCAAAACCTGCACATAGATGTTTACAGTGGCTTTATTCAAAACCGCCGCAACCTGGAAGCAATCAGGATATCCTTCAGTGAATATACAGATAAACAAACTGTGGTATACCTACACAGGTATTACTCAGGGTTGAAAAGTAGTAATGATCAAGCCACGAAAAGACATGCAGGAATTTTAAATACCTATTGCTAAGTGAAAGAAGTCAATCTGGAAAATCCACACAGCACATGATTCTAACTATATGACATGCTGGGAAAGATAAAACTTAGAGACATTAAAAAGATCAGTGGTTGCAGGGACTTGGGAAGATGGAGAGAGGTCTGAATAGGAGAAGCACAGAGGAATGTGGGGGCAGTGAAACTACTGCGTGATGCTGTGACGGTGGACACATGTCTTATACAGTTGTCCAAACCTATAGAATGTACAACACAAAGAATGAACCGTATGGTAAACTAGGCACCTTAGTTAATAATCATGTATCAATACTGGTTCAATAGTTATAGCAAATGTAGGACACTGATGCAACATGTTAAGAATAGGGGACCATGGAAGTGGGGTGGAGGGTCAAGGGAGCATACGGAAACTCTCTGTGACCTTCACCTAATTTTTTTATAAATCTAAAACTGCCCTAAAAACTAAAGTCTATTAATTTTTTTAAAAAAACCCACATATTAAGGAGTGAATGCAAAAAAAAAAAAGCCAATAGCATATTCAGGAAACAGGCTGAAATGCACGATGGGAGGAAGAGTAATGAGACATGAAAGTGTAGTGGAGGAATAAGATGCTGAAGAACTTCATATGGCATGTTATGGTATCTGCCTTTTTGTGCAGGTCAGGTTTTTTTTCAAGTTATATGGTCAGATTTGTCCTTGAGAAAAAAAAATAATTTTCTTGGCCATAAATATGGAATGAAGGGAAAGGAGTTTAGAGGGAGAGAAACAAACTAAGAGGTTATTGCACCAATTCAAGTAAAAGGTGATGAGGACAGGGTAAGGCCAAAGTCCCAACCCCATTCTCATGTCTTGAACTTCTTGAACTCAAGATCAAAATGGACCAACTCCACCGTAGCCAGAAAAGAAAGACATGATCACCAGGAATTTGGTAAAAGCTATGGCCATAGGCAACTCTGCAATTTCCTTCCCTTCAGTGAATATGAAAAGTAGTATCAATTCTCTTTTTTTGATGTGGGTAGCTTACCCTGAAATCAGAGGACTGAATTACACAGGTTTTTATAAATAGTCTTCTAAGTCTATATGAAACTGATGAATTTGGTGCTATCCTTAACTTTGTTTCACCCAAGTTCTTTTATAAAATAATTACCCTTGCTAAATATACAAATTCTTGTATATTTGTTCTCCTTGGAGCAAAGCACAAAGAGCTGCCCTTGTGAGCACAGCTCAATTCCCTATCAATGCCACAATTAAAAGCATCTGCCCATCTTGTGACTGATGACCTGGGGCTCAGTTTTGAATCTACTGTGTGTTTTCTCTACCCACAGCATATTAGTTTGGAGAGTAATCTTCTCTTATCAGGCAGTCATATGAGCTTCAGTTTCAGCTACTCCAGAGGTTGACTATCTCTTTGAAGTGCCTCTCCACCCAACAGAATGTTCACAGTGATTTTTACAAATGCCACATAGCCTATATTCACTGTCAAATGTGATGGTATTCCATTTAGCTATTTTTGGGTGCTAGAGTATCAGATACACAGGCCAAGACAGAGAAAATGTAATTTTATAGGTGTAGGTCAGAAGATCATAGCTGATGGAATTTGAGTGGTGATAAGAAGAAAGAGAACAAAGATTTGGAATTTTCCATTGTGGTAACTAAGTAAGAAGTGATGTCATTAACCAAAAGGAGGAGCAGATTGGAGAGATAAGACAATGAGTTTAATTTTGGACATTCTCAGTTTGAAGGACCTGTGGAATCTAATGTGGAGGAGTTCAGTAGGCAGTAAGACATGAGGGACTAGAAAATCAGGAGGGGGAGCTGAAAATATGGCTCTGATAGCCTAAGTAGAGGCTGAAGCTGAAGTAGTAGGTGAAAATGCCCGGGAGACTGGCAATGAGGAGAGGAAAAGTATCCTGGCCTATATGACATGTGAAAGAAAAACCAGAGATACCATAAGAAGAAGCTATTGCTTTGGTAAAAGTGAGAGGATATGAATGGATTCATGGTAAAAAAGAAAAAAAAAATTTAAAAAAGGGCGTGATGGGAGGAATCCTGCAGGGGCTACATCTCAGTGTGGTGAGTAAATGGGTGTACAGAGGGACATAAAAAAATGATTCCAATATTTTGATCTTAGAAGGCTTGGAAGAAGGCAATACTATTAACTCATTCATTCATTCATTCATTCAAAAATGAAGAGAGCACCATCTACGGGAGCGTACTGTGACACTGAAGTCAGGGGAATGAGTATGCTTTATGGAGACAGTGCTGGAGCTGAATTTATCTATGTTGAACGTGAGATGCCTGAATGTCATCAAGGTAGAAATGTCTGGCACGTAGTGGCAAAAAAAAAGGAAGGTCAAGGCAAGAGACTGCTTTACAGAGATAGGAATTTGAAATCCCATTAGTAGATGCAATTACTCAGAGAGAAAAAAAAAGGAATGCCTCTGTGGTTATATATGTACATCTAGATAATACCTATGGATAGTACTTACAGAAGAAGAGGAAGAGGAGGAAAAGTAAAACACAAAGATGGGGAAGGAATAGTTGTCCAAATAGAAGATCTAGGAAAAGTATCACAGAGACCAGGAAGATAAGATTTTCAAGAGGTGAGCAGGCTGCTGTTCACATCCCACAGATACTCCAAAGCAAATTAAATCAGAGGGAAAAGCATGGAATTTAGCTTCTCACACAAGAGTTGGGATAGAAATCTGATTACAGAGGACCGTGGGAAGAGCTGACGTTGACAGTAGGGACTTCAAGATGGTATCTTGGTTCAGGAAATGGATTTTTAGAACAGTGGAAACTTGAGAGTATTTGTAAGCCCAGAATAATGAACCAGTGAGGATAGAGAAAATGAAAACACAGGAGAAGAGGGAATAATTGATAGGAAAATGGCCTACAGGAAGCAAGACAATATGGGATCAAAAGATTTGGGCAACATCCAAGCAACATATGCCTTCACTGTGCAGTGAATTAGCCTCACTTGTCAGGATTCCAGAAGACTAGAGTCAAGTATTTCACATGGAACAGACGATCTCTGTGCACCATCGTTTTACGTTGTTTATTCTCAGTGACACAGTGTCTCCGTGCAGAGAGAAGGGCCTCTCATTCTCCAAAGAGAATTCTCCACTACATTAACTCCTCCTTTCCTGTGTCAAACTAAACGGGAGTGCTGGCACCAAATACCGTGTGCCATGTGGGATGCTCGCCTTGTCTAGGGGTCAGATAGAAGCTTGCAAAGAAAAGAGAGCACAATTTGTAAGGAACAGGGGCGGGGGAGGCAGCTGTATGTCGCTCCCTTCCTTTATAAAAAAAAAAGCCCCTAGGAACTTCCCAGAACAAGGTGAAGATCCGAGAAGACCAAGACTTCGATCCGACCCCGCCACCTGTTAATTCTGCCCGAGTTGTTCCTTCTCGTCTCATCTCTGGCCTCAACTGCCACCCATCTGCGTGCGCCCTGGTTCTTCTCACACTTGAGCCCACTGCTTTCTCTCTCATCCCCTAAGTGGATGATTGATTGTTTTTGTTTGCTTGCTCCTGTTTCCTCACCAGGAAATGCAGAGCAAGCAACGTGACGGCGCCTCACGGTGCGGGGAGCGCCACAGAAGCCCCACACAAGTTCCCGAGGACTCCCGAAGTCCCCCAGCAGCCTCGCACGGCTGGCCGAGGAGCGCACGCCCTGACCGCACGGCCGAGCCCCGGCCCCGGGCGCCCGTCGCCAGCGCTGCTCGGCTCGGGGAGGGGAGGGGAGGGGAGGGGAGGGTCGCCCCGGGGAATCAATCCCCACTGGGGCCGCGCTCTCCCCTCCCGCCCCGAGCCAAGCTCCTTAAAGTCCAGTAGCCTCCCTCGCCCCCGGGAGCCCACGACGGGCTGCCACACCAGGCGGACGCAGGGCGTGCGCACTTCCACGCGCAGCACAGGCACGAGGCCGGCGGGGGTGGAACGGAGGCGCGCGGCGCGCACCGCACGCACCGCAGGCACCGCACGCACCGCAGGCACCGCACGCACCGCAGGCACCGCAGGCACCGCGCACCCCGGCCGCGTCCCCGCCCGCGCTCCCCCCGCGCCCGAGCCTTCCGCCCGCGAACCTCACCGCGCAGCCGGGTAACTTTCCAGGTGCGCAGCTTGTCACCGTGGCGCCGCCGCCCCTGCGTCGCCGAGTCCTGTCCGCCGCCGCCCTCCCCAGCCGCCCGCGGCGCCCGACCCAGCGCCGGGCAGCTCAGGGGGCTCGGGCGGTGCGCAGGAGGCGCGGGGCGCCGGGGGCGCGGGGGGCGCGGGGCGCGGGCCCGGGGCTGGCGGCGCCGCTGCTCCGGCTACGTGGGATCCGGGCGCGGGCGAGCGCGCTGCGGGCTGGAGCTGCGGCGGCTTGGGTGCTGCCGCCTGGCTCCCTCCGCGGGGGCCGGTGCAGAGCAGGCACGCAAAGAGGGAGGGAGGGAGGGGAAGAGGGAGGGGAGGAGGAGAAGGAGGGGGAGGGTCAGCGGGGCTACTGCGTGGAAGAGCTGGGAGCCGGCTTCCCGAAAGCTGGGGTCCCCCGCGCGCGCCCACACGGCCCCAACCTTTACTCCCGAGACGAGCCAGCGCGGAGGGCCGCAGCCTGCACTTTATACCCCGTGCCCGCCGGAGCGAGGCGGCTTAAGTAGGGAGATAACACCGCGGTTGTAAAGCTGTTTTGTTTTTTTTTTTAATGTTATTATTATTTCTATTTCAGATGTGTGGGACTTGGGGAGAGGAAAGTTCAGGGACGTGTTCCTTTCCCTCCCCTCCAGACTGTTTCCCCTGCAAGCTCGCTGCCACCTCGCCCGCCCTCCCAGAACGCAAACAGGGGCACACATCCTGGACGTGCTCGCCTCGCCTCGGTCACGCCGATGCCCTTCCAGGAGACATGTGACCCCGGAGGAGCTTGGAGACGCGCTCCTCCCGGACTCTGGAGCCCTAACTTCATCCAGTTTGCCGATTCTCATGATGCCGGGGGCAGTGGCTTCAAGGGACAGAGCTGATACCTTCGGGAATCTGTAGTCCTTTAGCAGGAAGCTTTCTTGATCAACCGCTGGTACTGCTGTCCCAGTCGCCTTTTTGATTACATGTTTTGTTTTGTGGGGTTCCCCGCCCCCCCCAGGCTTGCATTACGGTTTTCTAAATATATATATATATATGTACCCCCACCGCATTATTTGCCGTGCTCTGGAGTTGTGAGATCTTCGTGTGGCTTTTCCCCTTTCCTTCTGCCCCCAGAGGAATTTCACTGGCAAATCCACCACAGACAAGGGCAGTTTCTGTGTTGAGGAATGGGAAGTACAGCGAGGTTGTATTTTTCACTGTGCCACTAGAGAATGTCGGAACCCTACTCTCTTGGGGTTTAAATAAGCCACATGGTGGCAATGGGACTCGTGTAACACTGGTCTGCTCTAGTACATACATAAACTTATATAGAAACGAGGCCCACGTAAAATATGTTGAATGGGGCCATTACATTTTAGAGAAGGAAGAATGTAGTCCTGTTTGGTTTTTTGTGCTAACTGAAAAGAAAAATAAGCAAAAGTACAAAGTACTTTTTCATGAGCATATGTGAGAGTCTTTCCATTTTATGCAGGCCTCAAAACAGCCCAACTAGAAGAGATGGTCTTGGGAAGAATTCCACAGGAAAAGGAAAAATAATTAAGTCACTTTTAAGTCACTGTAATAATGAACTAAGTCCATAGAATGGATTTTGACGAACAGTTTAACAGTAAGAAGGAAATCAGACTTTCAAAGTTCTTATATTCATTTAGTCCATTGGGGGTGGGGGGAGGAGAATGAATTGCTAATTAATGGGTTCACATTTTTCTAATGAAATGGAATAAAAATATCAGAGTACATCATGCATAGTAACAATAAATACGCTCTGTATATCTTTCGCTTCAGTTAAACGTGTATATGTGTATATTGGGTCAACCATGTGAGGTGTATTTTCTTCCTGTTCCTTGAGGCAAAAGCTTGAAAACTGTAGGTGTACTGCTGTTGCTCAGGGTCACCCATCTAGTCAGAGTTTGAGAGGGGACGTAAGCTCCTTCCCAGAGATCCTGTCCTCCGGCAACAATACTGTGCTGAGCTGTGAAGAACAAGGAGGATGGTGAGGAGGAGAAGGAGAAAAGTGACCATGTTTGAGCCTTTTCATTTTTTCAGCAAATGTGTTTAAGCAGCTCCTATGCATCCGGCACAATGCTACACTCTGGGAATTCAATGATGAATAAGATCAACATATGATCTTGGCAATTTTCAAATCTACAATCCAGTAGGGGGATGGGGGAATCAGACATCAAACCAATAAACACAGAAGTAACATACATGCCAAAAGTGCCATGCAAGAAAATATGATATGAGAGCAAAAAAAATATGAAGTTATCGTCTAGATGCAGAAGGCTGGAATTAATAATTAAGCTAGTTTAAAAGATATTAAATGATAAGGAAATTTACTGTTTCATATGGCTAGAAGTCCCAAGGTTGAGAGGCTCTCGCTGGTAGATTCAGCACCTCAGTGATGTCAGGATAGGCCCCGGGCAGTTTCTGTTACTCCCCCTTCTAGTTCCAGCACACCAACTCTGAACCAAGGTCTGCTCCCCTCCACTGTGGTCCCAGGACGGCTGGAGCAGCCCCTTTTACCACAGATAATCCTGACAAAACCCAATAGTAGCAGAGTGTGTCTCTTTTCAAGAGTGAGCAAATCTTTCTTAGAATCTCCCAGTCAACCTCCTCTCACCTGTCATTAGTCCAAACTGAGTCCCATGTCTACACCCAAACACTAGGCCTGGAAGGAGGGTTACCAACATTGACTTAGGCTCTTCCGATTTTGCCCTTGAACTTTTCAAAATTGCATCCTTTGAGGAGTTGATACTCAAACAAAAAGGAGAAAGCAATGGATGTTGGGTAGGTAATCTGGAGTCTGCTAGGGGGCTCCAGGATGACTTCTTTGAAAAAAAAAAAAAACATTTAAAACATAGGATGAGTAAGAGTTAGCAAGGGATGAGGAGGAGGATCCTTCAGACGGGGAATGACAGGTGTGGTCTGACTGCCATGTGTAAAAAGCATACATGCAATTTCTCATTTACTTTATCAATCCCAAGAGATAAGCCAACTTCAGGAAGCAAACTCAGAGTGTTAAGTAACTTGATCAAGTTCACAGAACTAGGAAATTGCAGAGCTGATCTATCTTATTCCAGAGCCTAAATCTTCATTTCTCCTACTAAGAGAGTGAGAAGCCAAAGTCCCCGGGCTTAAGGTCACTGCCTGAGGAACACAGTGTCCTCCAGGACACCTGTGCGAGGTTTCTCTGGGCCTACTGGTGGTGCAGGATGGTATTCATGAATAAACTCTCTCCTACTGAGTATGCCTCTGCTCCACTGCGTGTCATGATCTCTGCCAAACACTGTCACCAGAGCACTAGGTTTATCATGGCGTCAAAGCTCAGAGGTAGTGCATGGAGATGTGGAGGGTAAAATGCAGGTCTTCGTGCTACATGCATTTCGGGAAAGTATCCAAGCAGCCTTGAATTTTACAAGAATCTCTCGATTTTTCCTACTTTCCCTTTGTCACAGGGGCCTGCATCCAAGGGACTGAGCTGGAAGCAGACAACAGTAGTGCTTCCATGCTGAACACAGACTCCCAGGCCCCTGCATGACTAAGTTCTGGTTCAAACTCATCCAGCCTGAATCCTTAAAATATCTCACAGGAGGCTCCATAGTTGTCCTGGCACACAGACTTCCGTCAGGCCACCCCATCACACCAGCCTTCGTGCTCACTGTGTGGAAGCCCCAGCTCAGAGCAATCTCATGCTCAAGCTGAGCTCTCTCTTATGAATCACCAGAAGATCTGAGGATGTGAGAGGGCCAAAACCAACATACAGTTCCTCACCATCTCTTCAGTTTTCTTCTCCTCTCTCCTTTCCTCTTTCATTTGTCTTCTGGCTTATTTATCCTACTGCACTGAGCCCACAGGCAGCCGTTTCTGTTGTATTAGATCTCTGTGCCCTTCATCCATATTAGCTTTGCCAAACCCTGACCCAGGAGCAAACTACCTTTGCCATGGGTGTTCCTGCTCTCCAGGTGCCAGCATCACTAGATACGGTAACCAAATGGGGTCAACTGATTCCACTGCCTTTTTTTTCTGCCTCCAACCTCCCTGCGGCCAACAATGCCTCTATTCACCTCAAGGCCATTTATTTCTTCCATGATGTCTCAGTGATGCTGCAGGATAGTGGCTTTGTCCTCTAGGATCCCATAGGAACATGCTGCCCAGAGTCACAAGTACCTGGTGACTGACTGATGGTCTCTCTTAGTGGACTTAAGCATGGGGGCTTGGCGGTGTTGATTCTTATATCTTCAGAACGTACGGAGCTCAAATCTTTAAGATGTAGAAAACAATCCCAAAATTCCACTTTTCAGTCTATTGACTCGATTTTATAAATACATACATACATAAAATCTTTTTTTTAAAATTGCTTCCCAGGATACTAGTGACTTGAGAAGGAACCCTGCACTCAGTGCCTCTCCTTCCTTGGTGGAGTTCATTACTGTCATCACGCAATCTTCCAGGCCCAGCTCTGGGGGCAACATTCTCCATTCCAGTCTTGTCTCTTTAAGGGGACAATGGCCCCCACTCTGAATTGACCCATCTCTTGCCCATGTTCTCCTTGAATGTCCTCCCTCCTCCATCCCACTTCCACACATTTTCCATTTTCCCAGGATTCTGCCCTTACTCTCTCCTTCCCTCCCACTCCTACTCTCTCTCATTCTCTTCATAGCTTCACTCATTACTCTTAGGTGTATGCCTTCAGAACTCCCACAAGACTGCACTTTATGTCAGCCCTTTTTATGGTGTTTGTCACTCTCCACTTTGTATTATTGTTATCTCTCTATATTCCTCATCACCCCAGATTCACTGTAAACACCTAGAAGTGATGGTTCATCTGATTCAGCTTTGCTGTGTCTCTCACAGCACCCACAGCAGGAGCAAATCCTAGAGATAGAGTGAGCTTTGACTTATTACCCAGAAGAATTAGGTTTCCACAATTCTATGGAAAGAATTTGAAAGAAGTTCTTGGGTTTCCTTCTGGAATAAAAACAATTGTTTGAAATAATGACCAATTAATTTACAAATGAATAATCTGCCTAATTAACAGTTAAGAGTAAGTTTTACTATAAAAGACCACCATATACATACATTTCATTTTGCTTTTCTATGCACACACTGAATTTCAGTCCATAGTGTGTTGACTTTCCTAAATAGTGCTTGTTTTTCTAGTTAGGGGTGCTCATTAAATAATACAACCTATGTATATTAATTATGCACTAAATTCACAGTGTTTGGAATCCCACTATCCTGTGTTATTTCAGCCAACATAGACCATCCATCCAATGCTTTGACCTTGCAACTCTTTAGTCCTCAAATCCAATATCCTTCATTTCCAGCCAGCTTCAGCCATCCACACCCAGTCACATCTGGAATCTCCTCTAAAAGCACTGATTCAGATAGTATATGTGCACCTCAGGTCAGCTCAGCCCTGCCTGCCCCCAAGAGTTTAGCCCTTTGCCTTGCTTCTCAGACACAATGGTCATAACAGTGCTTTGTGCTATTCCCATAGTTGTAAAGCTTAGGTCAACACTGCCACTGACCTCAGCCTCCTCTAGAGTGAGAAACAGACCAGTATGGCCTCTGTGTCACCCACTGTAGAGGTAGCCTAAGCTATTCCAACTCTCAGGTCTGACCTGTCTATGCCCACAGAAGCTCCAGCTTCCCTAGCTACTACCTAGAGGGGTCCCAAGACATATCCTAGAAATATAGTAGAATTACTTCCCTGTGGAGTCAACTTTGACCATTGAGAGACAGGGGCCACAAAGAAGCCGACAGATAATTGCTCCCCCTTCCTGCCCACCCAAGAACTGGTCAGAGATGCAGTAGTTCTGTACTTCTGGCCGCTCTGGTATGACTTAGCGGCCAACTTTGTTTTCTAAAGATTCTGTGGACAACATGGTAATGTACCACCTTGAATCCGCCTTTTCTACTTCTCTCCCTCATTTCCCTTTCTCCCTTACTCCTGCTTCCTTAGGATAGCACCCCCTAAGAATTAGCATGTAAGTTTTGCCTCAGGCTCTGTTTTCTAGAGAGAGAACCCAGACTAAGATAAGATGGTACACTCTGTGACCACAGCCTCCATCCTTCAAGTTTTTTTGCTCAATTTAAAGTGACCTCTAATTTTTTGACTCTCTATTTCCTCTCTGTCTTTATCCAACTTCTTACTCAGTTTAGTATGCAGTGCTATATACTGAATATATACTAAATATTACTGCATTTCAAACTATATCACAAAGTTATAGTCATTAAAATAGTACAGTATTGACATAAAGACAGACACCTAGATCAATGGAACAAATAGCCCAGAAATAAACCCATGCTTATATGGTCAGTTAATTTACAACCAAGGAGCCAAGAATATACAATGGGGAAAGGATAGTCTCTTCAGTAAATGATGCTGGGGAAAACTGAACAACAACATGCAAAAGAATGACATTCAAACACTATTTTGCACCACACGCAAAAATTAACTCAAAATGAACTAAAGGCTTGAACATTAGTCCTGAAATGTAAAACTCCTAGAAGAAAACATAAGCAATAAGGTCCTTGACATAGGTCTTGGCAATGGTTTTTTAATCTGGAACCAAAAACAAAAGCAACAAAAGCCAAAATAAATAGCTGGTACTACATCAGATTAAAAGGCTTCTGCACACCAAAGGAAAACCATCAACAAAATAAAAAGGCCACCTACCAAATGGGAGAAAATATTTGCAAATCATATATCTGGTGAGGGGCTGATATGATATCCAAAATATATAAAGAGTTCATACAACTCAAAAACAGGAAAGGGGGGGGGCAG